CCACTTTCCCAAACGCGCAGAAAGCAGAAAAATAACGAGGCAGCCCCACCACCTCCGGCTCGCTTGAGAGGAGAAAGGAGGAGCGATGCCAAATACTGTAGCTACAGAACAGCTGAGGGCTCCTCTCCAAAGAGCCTGCAGCGCCGAGAAACGTCCACGGCTTTTGCAAAGTGCCTCCCTGGCTTGAGCGATGATGTAAATAATCAAGATATACTAATAATTGAATATGATCCAGGCCCCGCCCCCGCTCCATCCCCAGAGGCACAGTATTATTTTTTGCACTTTCTATTGGTAAAATGTTTTCGAAATCATTCTTGATTGTGAGTGACGAATTGCTGCTACGATTCTTTCCTCCTATTGGTTAGGTGCAGAGGGGGGTTATATAAAATTATATGTATTTGGAAGCGCTTTTTAAAAATTGAACACTGAGTTTTAAACGATATGATCAGGAAAATATCAATGTCAGTTTAAAATTCTTTAGATAGCAGTATCAGCAAAATGGAATTGATGTTAGCAAAGTTGTTCTATTTTTGTACACTAACTTTTCATATTTTATGCCAACTCGAACATATTTATTTTCATAACAGCACTGTGTGATAAAATCAGGCTGTGAGATAGGTCACTTAGGAACCTTTATTGCTAAGCAGAAAATCTAATGCAGCTGTCCTCCAAAGTGATACCATCTAGGGTAGCTGGTGGGGGGTGGGGAGAGAGAGTGAGAATAGTAATCTAAGACATCAATTTATAGGTATAGTCCCTCAATTTATTTATTAATAATTTTACACTGCCCCCTCAAACAAATCTAGGCAGTGAACAGAAGAATTTTAAATAGCAATCTCCCCAGAGAATAATTCAAAACAATAAATAACACAGACTAAAATAAATGCAGATGGTCACCCCCCCCATACTCTCTAGAGATTAAAAGTTGCCAAAAGACTGCTTAAAAAGAAAAGTTTTTTTTAAAAAGTTTTCTGACAGCCAGAAGTGAGGGGGCCAAGCATATATCTGGAGTCAGTGTATTCCATAGTGTAGGGGCCACTATTGAAAAGCCTTGCCCTTCTTTCTCACATCCTCTCACCTTATGTGGGATTGAGATCCTAAGCAGGTCCTCTCTAGATGGCCTGACAGAATGGGTAGAATCATTACCACAAGACAGTGGTAACACAAGGTAACACATCTGGGAGCCCTCAGGTTGGGAAAGGCTGTTCTGGTCAAAATCTCTAAGATCCAGTTTCATCATTCAGCCCACCAATTTTTAAAAAATTTAAGATAGACCCAATCTTTATATCAGGAATCTCCCAACAATCAGACTATAAAATGATTGGCCTAGCATCACCTTGTCACCTTCATGGCTAAGAAGGAGATATGAACATGTGTCTTTAGTCTAGTGTTTCCTAACCTTGGCAACTTCCAAATATGTTGACTTCAGCTCCCAGAATCTCCCACCCAGCATGGCCACTGCAGAGAGTTCTGGGAGTTAAAGTTCTCGCATCTGGACGTTGCTAAGATTAGGAAAATCATCTCAAGCCCTTATCTAACCACATTCACTAAACCATTGTCAGCTTTCTGCATCTACCCTGCATTAGCAACACTCACCTGTAGTACATTCCAAAATAAAAATAAATTGATTGTAAACATGTTCTCATGATGCAATCCATGGATTGGTTCAACAGGCCCAGATTCTTGGCTAGTAACATGGTGAATTAAGAACATTGTCCCTGGGTGCGCATATGGAAATGGAAGAGGTCTCTGGCCATTTTTTCTGACTGTTGATGACATCAGACAGGGCAGTGACTAAATCTAACATACAGGAATAACATTGCTAACCTCCTGTTAAGTGCCAGTCCATAAGTCCCTCATTTCAACTCCTTGAAGAAAATTGAGAATAGTGGCATTCACTAAAGCATGGTTCCAGGGATGGCATCATTGTGAGCACTCGCTCTTTGCTGTTTTATCAGAAAGCAGGAAATTTGGACTAACTAGTGGCAGAACTCTTCTTATGTTCTCATGGAAGCAAACAAATTCCAAAAAAGAAGCAGTATAACAACATATCTTGCTTTAGATTCCTGAAAAAGAATTACAGTACAACAAAAAACATGGCTCCACTTTTAACTAACTTCATCTCAAAACTCTCTTTGTCCACATTTAGACTTTCTAAAATTATCTCTTTCCTGCCCCTCTTGTTAACCCAACAGTGTCATTTCCCACCCCACAGGCATGGGAAAGAGTTTTCAAGCCATTAAAGAACATTAATATTCTTTGTTTAATCCCTGACCATCCATTAGTTGCCTAGCGATAGGCTGTTTCACAGTAATGAAGACGACCAAACTCATAACAGTGTTATGAGCAAGCTCATGGGGCACTATGCACTTTGCATAGTGGAGAATTGAAGTTTGTTGACTAAACTGTTGTATATCTTGCAATGCCAAAAATTACAGCAGCGCTTAAATAATAATGAAACAGAAGTACAGGACACAACAAAATGCCACTAAAAAATTAACAGGTGCAAAAGAGTTAAAAGATTTAAAAGCTAGGGAAAATAAGAGAACTGGCACTGAAACTCCAGTAAAACAGAATATTTTACATAAATATGGAGCTGAAAATTGGTTGCTGAATGCAATAAAAGCACCATATGATGGAAGTGAAGCATGCATGAAGTAAATGGAATGCTTAACAAATCTTTCGATACTGAGCAGGGAGTAAGGCATGGATGTGTGGGTAAGGAATGCTGGTGGTGTGTTGACTGAGGATATACATGTTCTTGTGTGCAGGTGCTGTGTGGTTGGTGGAAAACCTTAATGGTTTACAGCATGTTAGATTGTATGATGCAGTGAAGAGTATGGATCTGAAAATTAATGTATCAAAGACCAAGGTAGTTGTGTTTGACAGGGAAGATGGGGTGATTTGTTGCAAGTTATGCATAAATGATGAAAAATTAGAGCAAGTAGGTGTATTTTTGTGCCTTGGTGGAATGTTTACTAAGGATGGGGAAATGGAGAAATTTTAAGATGTGCAACGCTAGTAGAAATGTAGTGGATAGTATGTGGGCTATTGTAAGGAACAGATATTTGCTGTAAGAAGCAAAAATAACTGTAGATAAGAGGGTGTCTCTCACCACTTCATATATGGAAGGGAGAGGTGAGTATGTCAGGAGGACCATAAAAGTAAATTGGATGCAGTGGAAATAGGGTACTTAAGAAGAGTGTGTTAAAAGAAGAAATATGGTCAAGAAGGAATGGGTGCTGAATGAATGTGGACTGCATATAAGAGTAACCAGTACAAAACAGTGGTTTGGTTATGTAGAGAGAATGAATGAGAATCAAACTGCAAAAAATATATGAAGGAAGAGTGAATAAATCAAGAATAGGAAGACAGAGAAAGTTGTAGCTGGACAGAATTGATGACATCCTCAGAAAGAGAAAGGGGTTTAACATACACAGGCAATGTATGAATCACTGTATGGATGCAGTGGAAGCAAGGATGGCTTACAAGGATAGAAAAGTATGATGAGATATAGAGTAAATAGTTTTTATATGATGTTATAATATAATATGATGTTGGAGTAAATAGTTTTGATGGTGTTTCCTTTTCTTTTTATTATCTCATGCCTTTAATTCCCTTGGTTACTGGGGGGGGGGGTTCTTTTTTTTTTTTTTGCCCTTTGCATAATGTTCCTTACCCTGATAGGTAATAGTGTGATGATATGTATGTATATGTATGATATGTATGTACCAAGCAAGTCACCCTGGGGAGGTCACTCAACTTTGCAGATCAGATGCTTTTCAGCAGAAATATTACTAGAATGTGACAGATTTGTCAGAATGAAGAAAAACAAATGTTATCATGCACACTCTACTCCTTCCATACACACGTACAACATTGCAACACACGTACAAAAAGGGTGGGGCTTATATCGTGAGAGTCATTTTTCTGTTTGCCCCCCTCACCCACTCCATGGATAGCAATGCTATTGAGAGGGGTCTCTCCCTGTTTGCTGTCTGTCTTACAGGATAATAAGGGAAGCAAAATTTTTGTAGGAGAACTCTGTAGAGTTTGATTCATATGAGGAAAGATTGTTAAGCAAATATCTGAGTCTCATGCTGTGAAGTTTTGGAAAGTAAGCAAACAACGGTTTGAACTGAGCTGAGATGAAATCTAGATTTGATAACAGCAAAGCTTTTGGACAGCCTTCAAAGGCAGCTCCAGAGAGCACTTACTGCAATAATCCACATTACCAAAGCACGGGTAACTAAGGCTCAGTTGTCTCTGTCCAGAAAAAATTGCAGTCAGTCCTCACTGTGATGGGGGCCAGGTCTTTAGGCTCTTTAAATAGCGTAATTAAGTTTATCTACCTGTGAAGATAATGAAGTGAAGCATCCATATGTTAATCTTGAGGGAAACAGGAGCCTCCTTCAAAAGAGTGGTCTTAGGGTTCATACATTATGCTGTATGATGACTGCTTCATAATCAAAGCATAAACAAGTTTTATGAAAAAATCATGTGAAGCCATAATTAAACAAACCATGTTTTGTTATAGAGCAATGTGGGAGAATTGATCCTCAATCAATGGAAAGAAAAAAAAGAGGGAAAGGGTTACCCACAACCCATTAATAGCCTCCAATATCTTATTTGTGGTCCCCAGAACCTCAGAGTGGATGCGGCCTAAATTTCCAGACTCGTGTTTTTGCGTTTTAGGATTTAAGGGTTACAATAGTTGCCTTAAACTTTGGAGAA